TCATGATTTTATATACAGTTATGTCATTTTATACATCTCCCAATCAGTTCTTTTCCCAGTAGAAGACTCATAGCCAATTAATGTCCACATTCAGAAGCTGGTGCAATGTGATCTTGTCACATTTTTCTTTATCTTTTTTAGTTCTACCCTGTCCTTTCAGAGATAAGAGATAAGGAATGTCATACGTTATTTAAGTTGTCATGACCAGTGATAGGACACAAGGAAATGGAATAAAGCTGCATCAGGGGAAGTTCAGATTGGACATTAGGAAGAGGTTCTTCATTGAGAGGGTGGTCAGGTCACTGGAACGGGCTCTTGAGGGGAGTGGTCATGGCACCAAGCCTGTCAGAGTTCAAGGAGCATTGAGATGACGCTCATAGTCTCATGGTTTAGTTTCAGTTAGTCCTGCAAGGAGCAAGGAGTTGGACTCAATGATCCATATGGGTCACTTCCAACTTGAGATGATTCTATGATTACAGATGGATTTATGCGATAATGTAATGACATTTTGTTTCTATTCCTTGAGCTAATATTTTCATTGAAATATTCATAATAACTCCTTCAGGGGTGATAATAGCTAGTGCAGACCCTGTCATGTTTTCCTCCTCTATATTAATTTCCATTCCTCGATTTCATCTGCCATTTTATTGCCTAGACACACCATACTGTGAAATTTTTCTACCACTCTTTGTGGTCTGTCCTTATTTTGATTGTCCTGAATAATTTCTATCATCAATAAACTGTCACCTTACTTTTAACCTCTTTTCTATGTTACTTATGTAATTGTTGAACAAAACAGGATTCAGCAAAATTCACTGTAGTTTTCCAGCGTTATTTCTCATTTTCCTTTTTGTTGTTATCTCATGAGAGGTCATTCCCTCATATGTCATGATAGATTAGTTCCTTCGATGGCTTTTTGTCTTGACAAAATCTGTTTGTTAATCTAAATATGTTGAACTCAGTGAATCACTTATGCCTATACATTTGCCAACATCAGGAAAGAACTATAATATTGATAAGGAATCACTTGTGAGGCCTCTGTAAAGAAACGCTGATCCCAAGTATCCACTGTTTTTGTCTTTAAGACAGGTATTCAGATCTGCTTTGATCCGGGAACCATTTAAAAAACATAAAGTACTTAGCACTTTGTTACCACGCCCTACTTAATTAGAACACTGGCAATGTAAAACTTGAGTTCATCGAAGTTTGTAGGCAAAAAAAAGATATTCCTGCTCATTTGCTGCTTTTCAATTTTACTAGTTTTTTCCAAAACTGTTTCTGTTGACCATGTGTACTAAACTTATCACTAATTCTGTAGAGAGTTGAGCAGCTTTCTTGATTACCTTTGCATGGTACACCACTTTAAAGAATTTTATTAGTTTATGTGTTATTTTAATTTCATAGTTTAATCACCTGTCAACACTAAACAAACTATCAGGCTTCCATGCTCTAAAAGCTCCATGGAATATGTTCCATGCTTAAAAACAGAAGTGGAAAGCAGAAAGATGACCATAACCATTTCATAGGTGAGAGTCTGAAACTGTGTTTTCTCTTCATGCAACAGAAGTCTGTTGAAAACCAGAAATTGAATGCAAGCTGCTAAAACCACTGCCTAATTACAAACCAATCTTTTCTACCTATTTCCTCCATGAAATTGCTGCAATTTTGGTATTTTTTAAAGGTAGAAATGAATGCTAATCTGTTTTTTGCCAGTGACACAAAGGAGGGAAAAGATTGATGTAGTTGGCAGTTGAAGGGAGTAGAACTTCTCTGCTTGCACTTGAGCTACACAAAATAGAGATTATGTGTTGTTTCTGACTCAAAGGCATTTTACCCAGTCTTTGCACTGGAGCAAATGGTTACTAAAGGTATTTGACAATAAAGAAAGAAGAGCTGCCTGTAATTATAGCAGGTCATGTTTTTGGAAGTATTTCATAGCAGGATGCCCACAGAATCCAAGGTGGGATTGTTAACTAAATAAACTTTACAATTTAGTGACAAACTGAATTTTAAGATGCACAAAACTAGTACACCAATTTTTAAATCTTTCTTCTGTATGATTATCATAGTGAAAAATAAGTGAAAATTATCTAAAAAAAGGAACTGTGGTGTCCTGAGCTCTCTTGCCTTTTTCCTGGGGAATTATGATTGGATAGATGTGAATCTTAGAAAGGGTAAAGAGTGTATACTAGCATCATGAAAATTCACATTTTTGTTTCATATTCAAAGGGCTTAACTAAAGTATTCAAGACAATGTATTCAAGGCCTTTGACACGGTACCCCACAACATCCTTTTCTCTAATTTGGAGAGATGGATTTGATGGGTGGACTGTTTGGTGGATGAGGAATTAGTTGGATGGTTGCATCCAGAGGGTAGTGGTCAACAGCTCAATGTCCAGATAAAGATCAGTGACGTATGGTGTCCCTCAGGGGTTTGTACTGGGACGAGTACAGTTCAATATTTTCATCAATGACATTGACAGTGGGATTGAGTGCACCCCCAGCAAGTTTGCAGATGACGCCAAGCTGAGTGGTGTGGTTGACACGCCTCAGGGAGGGGAAGTCATCCAGAGGGACTTGGACAGGCTCAAGAAGTGGGCCCATGTGAACCTCATGAAGTTCAACAAGGCCAAGTGCAGCGTCCTGCACCTGGGTCAGAACAACCCCCGGTACCAATACAGGCTGGGGGACGAATGGATTGAGAGCAGTCCTGCCTAGAAGGACTTGGGGGCACTGGTGGATGAAAAGCTGGACATGAGCTAGCAATGTGTGCTCACAGCCCGGAAAGCCAACTGTATCCTGGGCTGCATCAAAAGAAGCATGACCAGCAGGTTGAGGGAGGTGATTCTGCCCCTCAGCTCTGCTCTGGTAAGACCCCACCTGGAAAACTGCATCCAGCTCTGGAGCCCTCAGCACAGGAAAGACATGGACCTGTTGGAGCAGGTCCAGAGGAGGGCCACAAAAATGATCAGAGGGCTGGAGCACCTCTCCTATGAGGAGAGGCTGAGAGAGTTGGGGTTGTTCAGCCTGGAGAAGAGAAGGCTCCGGGGAGACCTTGCAGCCTTTCAGTACTTAAAGGGGATTTATAAGAAAGATGGGGACAAACTTTTTAGCAGGGCCTGTTGCGATAGAACAAGGGGTAATGGTTTTAAACTGAAAGAGGGAAGATTTAAACCAGATATTCGGAAGGAATTTTTTACAAAGAGGGTGGTGAAACACGGGAACAAGTTGCCCAGAGAGGTGGTAGATGCCCCATCCCTGCAAACTTTCAAGGTCAGCTTGCAGTGTGCTCTGAGCAACCTGGTCTAGTTGAAGATGTCCCTGCTTATTGCAAGGGAGGTTGGACTAGATGACCTTTAAAGGCCCCGTCCAACCCACACTATTGTATGATTCTATGATCTTCTGTATTGCTAGAATCTCATGCTTATGTTGTGAAAGTATTATATATATTAGTTGCTGGAAAGCAATATGAATAGTATTGCTTCCTCCTTTCTATCAGGCTTGCACATCAAATGTTATTTGAAAGCAAAGCTTTATTTTGGACTGTACAAAGCAGTATCATAGAATCATGAAATATCTCAAGTTGGAAGGGACCCATAAAGATCATCAAGCCCAACTCCCTGATCCTTGCAAACAAAGATTATTTAAAAAAAAAAAGTTCAAATTAGTTATTAATTGTAATTTTTAACTTGTTAAAATTCCAGGACTGGGGAACTCATCAATACCAGACGTGGTGTTGGGAGCAGTACAGGAGCACTTTGTGCGTCTCTTGCTCTCTGCCTGTCAGATTCACTCCTGTGAGCCTGCAGGGAATGCAGTGTGATGCACTTCTCTCTAAGGTGCTGAGGTCTTGATGTGGTCAAGTGAAACAACCAATACTGGTTTTGGTGCCTATGTTTGTACTGATTATGGGCAAGGCTGTGTGGTAGTTTTGTCTTAAGATGCTCTGTGCATAAAAGAGGTTACCTGAGAGTCAATTTACGAGTTCCTTAAGTACTCTTCATTTAGTTCTGTCCCTTATATTTAAAGTTTTAGTTAAAATGTAGAACAATATGATTTGTATATAGATGTCTGTAGGCTTTTTGCCTGCTCTTTTTCAGCTGTTCCACTGTTTTTTGAAGGATTTCTTCTCCTGATGCCATGTACTGCAATTCCTTGCGTGTAGGATCATTCTGTCCTTTTTATGAGGTTCACTTTTAAGGGAATAAAATACTTAACTCCAAACCAAATGCCAGACTCTGTGTTAAGACTAAATGATTACTGGCTTTTACACTATTAACTTTGTACAACCTAAAAAGAGAATAATGACGCTTTAAGTCAACATAGGAAGTTCCACAGCTATTAATTCATCTATTCGGCTAATGCTTACACAGATTTTTACCACATGTCCCCATTGTAGAAGGCAGAAAATATCTCTGAATGTATTGAATAGAAATACAAGAACAACTGTATAGATTTTAAAATGTGCTGAAAATGGGCTGTAATCTATACAGAAGAAGCAAGCGAGACAATCCATAAAATCTCAACTATTGATTGACTGTACAAATTGGACAGGTTAGTAACTAACCGGTTGCCTTGCTCAAGCAGTATGTTTAACATGGTTTTAACGTGAGCGTGAGAGTCACTAACTCACAATGTCAGAGGACAGCTGTGCCATGACCACCCAAGCTTGGTAATTAAATGCCATACAGGTTAATTGCAGAGACAAGCAGGAGACTGGAGTTAAAGGACTGAAAGGAGTCAGTTGAATAGTGTTGTCCATCAGTGGAGGAGGAAAAGGAAATCATTATAAAGGGAGCTTTATCAGTGTACAATAATCACATACTTGGTTTTGATTAAAGCCTTATTTTAAGGTTTTAATAATACAATAAGGTTAGAAGCTGAATGAATTGCAGAAGGGTGGGTTTGGGGCCAGTGGAAATTGTCATCAAACAAATCTGAAGATGATACCAATACATACCTCAGATTTTTTTGTTGTTGTTTTGGTTTAACCTGCAGCCATGGCAAATTACGCTTTTGAAGATGCAAAACTGATTGATTTAATACAAGGGCCTAATGTATACGTTCAACACATCATATCACTTTGTCTCCGTGGATCAATTTTATCACAGCTCAAAGGTTTTGATCAGTATTTAGTGGGAAGGCGAGTAACCCACCTTAATGATTGTTCTTCATATGGTTTATAATCTTTATAGCTTACTGCTACATAGAACTCAGTTCAGCTGAGCACTCAGACATGTGCTTAAGTGCTGTGCTGAATGAGAATTATAATACATCACTCAGCATGTGCACCTGAAAAAAATAACAACAGTACTGCCATAAAAGATATAACATTGTATATGTTATCCTCTTCTAGAGGACAGGGAAGCCACACATAGCAGATGCTATTCGTGTTGCTGCATGAATTACTTAGCTCCTCTGATGGCAAGGGTAACTATGAGGTCCTAAGCAGAACAGTAATACAGTGTAATACAAGTGATGCAGTCTGTGAAGGAAAAGCTTTCCCGTGGAGATGTAAGCAGAAAAGAAGAATAATAAGGAGTTTTCATAGGTAATTTGCATACAATATTTCGATGTCCAATAGGGTAGGAACACAAGGTTTGACTATGAAAAAAATAGTTTTATGATGCTTTGCATGTTTCTGTACTTTACTTTCTCCTTTGGCATCCTGCTGTTGTTCAAGATATAACCAAAGGATACCAATTTGAATTGTAGAAGGGAATGAGGAGGAAATCATCAGTATAATAGTTTTATTCCAATGTCTAAACTCTGGATTCAAAACCAAAGTTGTTGGTGCTTTTCTGTTCTTCATTACTTCCTAGTTGTTGAAAAGTAAGCCTTTTACTTTAATGTCATAAAAGACGTTATGTTCATTTATGATTGTGCTGCTAAATTCACCTTCATTGCTTTTGTTTATGATTTTATTTTATTTTATTTTGTTCACAGGGTTGTTTCCCGCAGTGCTGAACCTGGCTACTAATGCTCTCATCACAACCAATGCTACCTGTGGAGAAAAGGGTCGGGAAATGTACTGCAAACTTGTTGAACATGTACCTGGACAGCCTGCAAGGAACCCTCAGTGCCGTATTTGTGATCAAAGGAGCAGGGTTCCCCATCGTAAGTGTGCCATTTTCATTTCATTCCTTTAAAAAGATTTTTTTCCAAAGTTTGTAGATACTCAGCAAACAAAACTGTAGGTCACTGGTCTGATTACTATGAAATGCCTGTCTCTTTCATTTTAAATTAGGTTACCCATCTCTTCCATTGGTATTTCAAAATCTGTATCTGTTACGTATACTTCTCAAACTGAACTTTCTAATTCAGATACTTAAAAGTGGAGTACCTAAATTCTGATTTGGGAAAATTAAGTATCTACAGCTGTTGTTGAATTCTCTTGATATATACTAACCATGAATGAAAGTGGAATTTAAACATTTTGGGCAACCTAAGCAACATCTGAAATTTCAGTTTAGGACCAACTCCAGTTTTATTTCATTGTGTTCTGGGATATTTTTCATCTTCGTTTGATGTTAATTCAGTTTCACTGAGCCAGCAAAAAGGAGCTAAGATAACGGAACCCTGCTTGGTTTAATTGCTTAGTTTTTCATATTAAAATTGATCTTTGCTAACACTGCTTTCTTAAAGACTACCCAGAAGCAAAACCAGTTTTCAAGTATAAATTTATCATCTGCTTCAGAGATGCATATTTCTAATTGTTGGGAAGATTAGAACTAAGAACATTTCTTAGTGAAGTCATACAAGTTTAATTTCATGTGACTTTGCAATGAAAGACATGAATGGCATTAACATTGTTAGATTTTTGAGAGTGTATTGGCACTGTAGATAGTAGAGGGTGTAGAGACACTTAAGACAGCTTTTAATGGAATAGATAAAATGTTGGAAGAAGCACAGCCACAGAAGCGTGAAGACACTTTCTCTTTTTTTCCAGTTGTTTCCCTCTAAAACCTAGCTCAGATGTATTTACACCTCATGACAAAGCACGTGTAAACATGTGCTTAAAACCACAGGAAAAAAAAAGATGGCATGTAACCTCTTTGCTTGTTCTAGACAGGATGAGCTGTCTATGGCTGTAGATTTCCAGACTGAAGCTTGTTTAGCTTCTCCTTAGAAACTTCCTTCCAGGGCCCCCTTCCTAGAGTTATTTTACTAATTACAAAGTCTTTTCCTAATAGCTGACCTGCATCTTCCTTGCAGAAATTCATGTTACCTTTTTCCTAACTTCAGTCAATACAAGGAATGGATTATTCCCTTTTTCTTTGCAAAAGTCTTTTTTACTTGGTGGATGGTATTGCTGCTCTATCTACTTTCTACACTAAGCTCTCTCTTTTCTTTCATTCTCCTCATAGGTTGTATTTTCTAGAACTCTTAACTGTGCAAATTGCAGTTCTCTGAATTCTCTCTGGAGGTTTTAATCTTTATTATAATTCACCTAAGCTCCTACCAGTACTGCATAGAGGTGCAGGTTTGCTTCAGAATGAAGAGAATCTATTCCTGTTTACATGTTTTACTTAGATATTTCCCCTTTTTAATTGTGTGACACCACTGAGAGATATATAGCTAGTTGTCCGTTATAATCCCCCGATGCTTTCCAGCTAAATGGCTACCAATCCATTTGCTCCCCATCTTGTATTTGCAAAGCTAATTATAATTGCCCCAGTATAGACTACTTCATTCATCTGAACACAGCTGCAACCTACTTTTTTTTTTTTTTTCCCAAGATAGTTTTCCAAGTTTTGACATCTTCTTTAATTGTAGTAAATGCCACCTTCTGAGGAAAGGTCATGTGATTTTGTAGCAATATAAGCATTCAAATATGTTACACCATAGTAGAGCCTCTCACTCAGAGGAGATTTCAGGGGTTTTTGGAACCATTCTGACTGGCAGAATCACCGTGCAGTAGATTATCTTCCTTCTCTATAAATGGGTATTTAGAGATACATGCACATCATGCAAGTTTTTTTACTATCAAGTTTGTTTACTTCAGAAGCCAAACCTGAAACAGAGCTGGATTGCTTTGTCCCCATGTCCTGCCTATGATATCAGATAGCATACACTAATGTATGTGTATATACACACACACACATATATAAATATAAACCCTATCTGAATGATTTATATCTCACTTCTGTCCTCTTAAAAACTTGAATTTGCCCAGCTTCATAATGTCTGGTCTTTTGTTGCCAACCACATCTCATTTTAAGGTTTTTAAATGTTCATTTGGCAGAAGGAAGTGCCTTATTTAAACAGAGATGGCTCATTAATAGGAGAACCATGTAATGTAACCAGACTTTAAATGATCCCCCTGGAATGTGCAAGTCTGGAGTGCCTCCCCTTAATTACTGTAGTAGGAAATGAACACAAATTCCCTGGTTAATCACATGTGAGCCCAAATTAAAGAGCACAGTTTGATGGGCTCAGTCTGTGAGTTCTCCCCCTTGCCAGCCATCAGGGAGATTGGTCCTTGAACTGCATTTGCAATCCAGTCCTTTTTGCAAATATTGTATTATTTTCCTTTCCGTTTTAAATAGACAAAACATGCCAGCAATTAATCAGTGTTTTCAAATTAATTATGATTAAACTTTCATAACAGGGACTACAGTTAATTGTTGATTCATCTCCTAACCCTCCTTCTCATGATTTACCTTTATACATCAATTTCACCTGAAGAGACTTACATCAAAATTCCAATTAGACAGCTTCTGTCACAATCACTGAGGAGCCCTGAGTTTGATTTACAGGTGATTTTTGCTAACACTCATTTAAAGCCAAGGTTTGTGAAGATGATCAGAGCTGTGGGAATTGACAATGTGTAAAGCATGGGTGTGTTTTACTTTTGCCTTCAATGTAAAGACAAAGCTACTAAAAACATCACTTGTAGCACCAGTAATCTAACTTGCAATTGTTGATGCCCACTAATGCCACTGAATAATCTGCTATTTAAATGAAATTTTTGGTATTTTTCAATTTTGAAGGCTGATGCCTTCTCTCACTCCCACAAAGCACTTGAATTGTATCTTTAAATATGTTCAGACATTCTGGCTTTCCTTAATGAGCTAGGACTCATGTCCTCCACAGGTGGTTGATGTAGCAAGAAAACAGAGACACAAAGTATCAATCTGGCTGGCTGATTTAAATAATAATTAAAATAACAAGTAAATTAATCAGTTCATGAATTAGTTATTTGCAATTCTAGGACTAGCTAGTAATGAAGCATATTCCGGTTTTACATCAAGAAAACCTGTCAGTTCAGAAAGCCATCCTTAATGAGAGGGGTAGGATTTCTCCCATCTTGTTGTGTTCTTGCAGACAGAACTGGCATAGAGAAAAACTACTGCATTTTAATTTCCTTTAGGTATTTTCCCTATAATGTACAGAATAATGTACAGACACGCTCTAGGCAATTAGGGTCTTCAAAATACAGATCTTTGTACCTTTTAAAGTTGAGGTTGTGTTATTCTCCATTTTATACTGGAGAGAAACACAAATTGACCACAAAAAGTAACCTGGAAATATTGAGTGTGATTTTTCTCGGTCTAAATAACATTAAAATACTGTGTGATAAAACTTCAATAATTTAGAAGATCTTGAAATCTAGGAAGAATTAAATTCTGTAAATAAATTCTTATTCCTATTATTTGGGATTCTTTTGGGACACTGTAGCAGAGTAAATGTAGACATGAAAAATAAAGCATCTTGGACTGTGATATGGATTATAACCATCTTTATATGCACGTATGTGAGTCAGACAATTTTCCAGTTGAGAAATGTATTCTGTAATGATTTCTGAATAATTACCATGTGTGCTTAGAAATGGCTTAGAAATGCAAGTACCAGTATTACTTAACTCTGCTTTCACTGCACACCGTAACTTGCGTTCCTGATTTATTGTTTCTGTTGGAATATTTAATGACTTCACAGTACCTGAAACTTTGGAAGACTGTAGAAAGTGTTCACTGGATTTAGATGCATACATTTTCTGTAGCATCAGGAGAGCCTCCAAATGCATTTAGGTGTTCTGAATCACCTTCTTGTGATCCTAAGAAAAATTAAACAACTAACATCAGATGAGTGTTCCAGTAATAATAAGGATGACCATGCTCCAAGAGGAAAAGAAGAATTAATTTCCTGGGTTTATTTTAACGTGCTGCCTCATTAGTTCTGTAATTGTATTCAAATCTAGATGTTAGATCTAAAAACATTTAAATCTCCTAATCATTTTGAAATATGTTTATGTATTTCTGCTGTTCTAACAGAACGACATCCGATAACAAATGCAATTGATGGCAAGAACACTTGGTGGCAAAGCCCTAGTATCCAGAATGGAATTGAATATCATTATGTGACCATTACGTTGGACCTCCAACAGGTAGACATCTTCTGTTTGTTTGCTTCTGCAATGGCTTTCTTTCTTGCACAATAGATGACCTGGAGTATTTTCCTCTTTACTTTTTGTTGCTTTTATGTTATGAAGGCACACTCAGTTTCTCCCATAACTTTTTGTTGTTTACATGGATAATTCTGACTGACCCATTTATTGTAACATAATGTACCAAATTAAAAATAATTATTGCATATGTAGTTTTATGAAATCATGTTTAAAATTATTTTAGATACAGCATTTTCAGTTCTGATTTTTTTTTTTTACAATAACTTCTGGTTTGGCTCTAAAGACAATTATAAGATAGTTTCATGGAAAACTCATATGGATAAAAGTTTATGGTTAGGATACCGTTCTTTCTTGTTTCAGTAGCATAGTACCATACATTTAAATACACTAAAAATACTTAAATACACTACAAATAGTTCTGCTGTGCTAGGTAGGTAGGTTATGGTAGGTAGGTAGGTAGAACATGTGGTAGCTTATTTTGAGGGAGAGCCTGGGTTGAGGGAGAGCCTGGGTTAAGAGAGGAGTTTGGCTAATGACATCCTTAAATAAATTGCCTCCTGTTAGTGGAATCTTGCTTGACAGATGTAGCTATACAGAATGTGGTTATCTGATGCTTACAAAAATGTTATATAAATTCCAGTGGATGTAAGCAAGAGGATTTGAGGGTAGATGGAAAGTAATTTTTTTTTTTTTTTGTTATACCAAGATAAATACAGAACAACTATCTGGTACCAAATTTATTCATTATGTTATTAAACTTGACCATTTTGGCAGTCAATTAAGTAGATAACAAATACATTTTAGTTTTTTTTCCTCCTTAAAATCTTCTCTGGTCTGTGGCTGGCCCATATTTGTCTGCAACTTGAATCAGACCAGACAACATAATTTGTTTTCCAGGTGCTAAAAAAACCAAAAAGGGAACGCCCTTTCTCTGGCACACTGGAGGGAGGTTCTCCTTCCCCGCTCCCTCTCTTTTGTGATCTCTTCACTGAAAGCAGTTTACTATTTCAGTTTATTATTATTGGTTTATTGGTTTCACTTGGAACCTGCCTGCCTTTATCTCCCTTCTTCCTCATTTAGCTGTACTTAATGAGGACAATAGCTATTATCACCTAAAGAGATTTGAATGAAGCACAGTTTATTAGAAAATAAAGTGAAACAAAAGGCAGGGCATTGAGACATCTGTGTGCTTGCATACATACAATTTTGTTCTAAGAGATCAAACTTAGTTCAGAACTCAGAACTTCAGTAATGTTTAACAAAGACTAATGCTTGCATTTCTAGTTTTTGTCCTGTATTTCTTGTAAACAAACTGTCATCCAACTGATCTGATGGTAAAAATTCTTTTACGTACCTTCTGTCTGTGACACTGAGGTACATCAAGGGCAGTAGTCTTTATACCTGGAAGAGCCTTTGAATTCTGGAAGAATTAGTAGCATTCTGGCTTTGGAGCCCTCATTGTTACTGGCAGAAACAATCCTACATCTGTGTCTTTGGCCTTATATATGCAAAAGTTTTCAATGTACATTTCTCTTTCAGTTAGCAAGGCTAATTTTTTATGGAAGTTTGCATTTAAGGTCCTGTGCATTGAAAAGTTTTAGGTTTTTTTAAAGGTCGTCTAAAATTTTGGAGTTATTAGCTGTTTTCCCTTTACAGCGAGGGATTGTGCCTCTTGTTGGCTATGTGAGTAGCTCTCAAGCATTAGAACTAAATTACCATCCTTGTTTTTCATCACCCTAGTGATTTTACTTGTGTAGTTGTTTAGGCCAGGTCTGCTAAACTAGGGCTTTACAACTTGTGGGTTTTGTTCTGCTATGTCAGTATCTAGGTTGTCATAAGAAATAAACAGATTTGTGCACTTCTGAAAGCTTTGGGGTTTCTAATATACTAAAAGCTAGCAACTACAGGGTCAGTGACTATATTGAAAAAAAAGTATGGGTTGTTCTAATGTATTTAAAAGGCTTCTTTGACAGTTGACAGCTGTCTGAGAACACTGCACTGTGTGTTGTGTGGTTTTTTTTTTTTTTTTGTTGAGACAAGGCTCAAGTATGAGCCTGTTTCTTTCCCATGTTCTCTTGCTTATTGTTCAAAGAGAGCTTGGCGCTCCTTTTTGCAGTACTAAACTTGATACCTCCTCTTACACCCATTCAGTTGTATTGGCTGGAACATGGCAGGTTTCCATGGACGTCAGAAAGGTGGGATAAGACCTTGTGTCACTAGTGCTGACTGGCACACTATCATCTGAGTAACCCATGGAGTTAGGAATGCGTGCTCTGTTTGCTCACCACCTTACACGAACAGAACAACCCTTTTGTTCCCCCAAAATGTGGTAAAAGGTCTGTTGCAATTTACATGGCTTTTAGACTGCGCATAAATAAATAAGAGTTGTTTGGATTTTGAGAAGTATGAGGAGTTTTTGTTTGCTTAGTCCAGTATTTTGTAGACACAGCGTTGTAGGTTTATTAAGGTAGCTGGTAAAATAGGAAATTTCTCTTCCAGATAGCGTCATGCATAGTAGTCACTATGAATGATGAAGGTCACCAGATATCTTTGAGACCTCACTTAAAAGAAATACCATTCTTTACCTTTAGTTTAGAGGAGATTCAGTAATTGCTATGTTTGTGTTGATAAATTCTTGCTTTAAGTATAAAAATGCTTAACTTCTTTTTGTGAGATAGAAATAACAAATGTCAAATCTACAAGTAATGGACTGAA